ACTTTTGCTGTCGTTTCCCTCACCCATGGAATCTTAGTGTTTAACCTGGCTGGTGATGCCTGCCATCAGCACTTCCCTCTGTAGCGTATTTCCAGTTATGCTTTGGCATGCATTTGAGTCCCAGTCCCTTCCTGTCTCTTACCATAGCTTCTTCTTGTGCTGCTCACAAACCATGCTCAGCTGTCTCCTCACTCCTGATCTTTTGCACATTCTGCCTGACACTCCCTCTTCAGAATCTGTCCTCTGACACATTCAGTTCTCAGCCAAGACACACGTCGTATTTTGGAAGCCTTTCCTCAGACCCCAAGATCAGGTAATGCATAACTTCTTTGCATACATAGCACCATGTGACTACCTTCATATGCTATTAATAGAAAGACAGTTGCAGTATTTGTCTTTCTCACTGAGGTCAGAGTCTGCTTTCAAGGCATTTAAGTGTGTGCTCAAATAGATGAGACGGAATACCTCTTCCAGCCTGCAAAAATCACACCAGTCTGGTTAAACCTCTCTGTTGGGAAATGGAGATGAATCCATCCAAATGTTGAGAGCCTTTGGAGAAGATGGTACAAAGGAATAAACTTTTATTTACCAGTAGGCTTATCAGCTTGACCAGTGGACTGCACCTCTAAATGACATTAGCTTAACTCCTTGTTAAGCTAGTGGCTTTACTGACTGGCACTTTAATGATATGCCCATGGCCTTTAGTGAGGGGTTTTGTTTTGTTTTGTTTTGTTTTTAATTACAAAGAATGCATGTTTTAAAATGTTTTCATTTGCTTCTGCACACAGAATGTGATGATGACAATGGACACTTGCAGGCATTGTTCTGATTGATGTACCAAACAAGCCAAATCAGCAACTTCAGTTATTGATTTGTTTTTTCTCAGCAAAGAGAGAGGGTGGGTTGGGAGTGAATTTAAACTTGGAAACAATCTGTGACTTTGAAAATTGCATAAATAATTTTAGGCATCTGTCTTACGATAAAACATGATCCAAAAGAAAAAGAGAGGTTGGATTTACTTAGGTGAGTTACAAAATGACCATTGAGGTTTGCATTGTTGCTCTTGTTGTACCTAGCAACATTTGTTTTCTTCTGCAGTGGCAGAGTCTGGCATGAGACTCCAGTATAAAATTTTGAGGGCCAGCTTTATGTTTGGGGGTACTTGCTTACACACTGAACTTTGTAGAACATCCAGAAACATTTACCCATCTACTAAGCCTGAATTACAGACTTTGGGACTACAGTCAGACAGTAGTGAATTCACATCTGGCTCTGCCACTTATCAGCTGTGTGACTGCTGACACGATACCTAAACTCTAAGCCTCATTTTCTTTATTCGTTAATTGAATCGTGTGTTTGGCACACATAATAATAAGCTTTTCTCAACATCATCTTAATCGCTGAAATCTCATCATTAGAAATGCATTTCATTTGGTTAAGAAACTTTTTTAAAACATAATTTCCATTCTTAAAAACATCTTGACTACTAACTAAGGTTGTGTGCAAATGCAATGGTAGAGAGTGGTCCTACCACATAGTCTGCAAAGGGCTTATTGTGTGAGAGTGGGATAGAAGGCTGAATGGGACTCTGAACAGCTAGAGAGTCCCCCAGAGTCCTGTAGGAAGATAAATCATCGGCAATTAGACCTGAGACAATTCTGTCTTGACCCCAGCTTTTGATTCTCCTGCTCAGGATCTGAAAGCCTTTTTCCCTAACCCTCATTCCCCTCCTGGAAGGGTCTTTGACTGCCACATCTCAGGAGTGGTTTATCTATCCAACTGAGAACAAGGGCACCTGATGATAAGGGAAGCAGTGCCTGGAGAGCAGAAGGCCAAAGATCTGGATCAACTCTGCCAGGGACAAGACATGGGCTTATAAACTTAGAGTGGAGTGAAGATTCGGTTTTGCAGTCTTTTGTTTTGTCATGCACTGCCCTGAGCTCAGGTTCCATCTGAACAGCAGAAACCAAAGGAGAGCAAAGTAAATCTTAAAGAAAAAAAATCTTTAAAAAACATAAACTGAGAGGTAGATGGAGTAAAAGGGGTCAAATATGTGGTGACAGAAAGAAATCTAACTATGGGAGGTGAACACTCAATGCAATATGTATGTGCCTTACTATTAAATTGTACACCTGAAACTTAACTGGATTTCGTTAACCAACGTCACCATAAAAATAAACAAACAAACAAACAAATAAATAAATAACATGAACTGTTAGGCCTACAATCCATATGATATCGAACCCCAAAGTGAGAACCCATCAAGGGTCGTATGTGTTGTCAGATGTTTTGTGATGCCAATAAAGATTACAAACAAACATTAAGAATGATAATAGTATCTCACAACGGAACACACACTTTGTCCCAGGCACTGTGTAAAATGCTTTAATGGATTCTTCCTCTTCCTCTTTGAAACAACCTCATGAGGAAGCTGAGTTATCATTGCTTTTATACACAAGAGGCCTTAAAGAAGCTAAGTAATTTGCACAAAGTCACACCAGCCAGCAAGGGGAGGCATAAGGAGGGAATATGTACAACTGGACTCCAGAACTAGCTCTCTGAACCAGCAGGCTCTACTGCCCCCTCCTCTGATTAGTGGTCATGTGGCCATGTCTGTCGCCCCATGGTGACCATCCTTCCTGAAGGTTCTCAGCTGAGACATGAGCCTGAG